AAACTCTGCAGGAAAGTGGATCTTGTGGGCCAGATTTGAGGATCCCTGCTGTAAAGGCATTGTTGAACGTCGAACTTCATCTTCTCAAGATATAATTCCATCTAGATTTCTAAAACAGATTTTGAATACCGTTGGACATGATCTTTTAACTATTTTTAATACTAGTCTAATTACTGGGGTTGTTCCTGACTGCCTAAAAACGGCTACAGTAACTCTATTATTAAAGAGGCCCAATCTTGATTCTTCAAATTTTTATAATTTTAGGCCTATATCAAACTTGCCATTTCTTTCCAAGATTCTTGAGAAAGTTGTGTTGACCCCCGCTGCAGTCCCATTTGATGTCAAATAATATTTTTGAAAAATTCCAATCGGGTTTTAAGTCTCAACACGGCACGGATTTTAAAAGTTTAAAAGTTGTAAATTATATTTTACTAGAAACAGATAAAGGGAATGCTGTGGCTTTGGTGCTTTTAGACTGCATTTGATCATTTGATATGGTTGACCACAATATCTTGATTTCCAGGTTGGAGAGCTGTGTTGGGTTACAGGGCAAGGTGTTGAAATGGTTTCAATCTTTTTTTAACATACAGAAGTTTTAGTGTTTCCATTGGCCAACATAGTTCGTCCTCACGCCCACTCGCTTGTGGGGTGCCACAGGGCTCAGTTCTTGCCCCGGTTTTATTGTCTATACTTATGCTACCAATGGGTGCTATCTTTGAGAAATACAGAGTGTCCTTCCACCTATACGCGGATGATACTCAGCTGTATTTTCCCTTGCAGCATAAAAGTAAAGAATTCTTAGGACCTCTGTTGGATTGTCTAAATGAATGACAAATATGGTTAAAGCAGAATATTTTAGTGTTAAACGAGAACAAAACAGAAATAATTTTGTTTGGTTTAAAGTCATATGAAGACTTTGCCCTTCACTTTGGTCATCTCTCTTCCTACTTTAAATACCTGCTTAAAAAAAAACATATTTTGTCAATAGCTTTTATCTAGCCATGTCTATTGTTTTGTTATATTGCGTTTTGATGTTTTGTGGTTTCTTATTTATTTTATTTTTGCTGTATTGTACAGCACTTTGGATCAACTGGTAGTTGTGTGAAAGTGCTTTATAAATAAATTAAAGAAAAAAAAAAGAAAACAATATTCTCTGATGTCAGTTAATGGTTGCAATAAATGCAGGTAAACTAATAAAATATTTATATTATTATTATTATTATTATTTATAATTTTTTTATTTTGAGTTCATTATGAGGTAAATACAGATTTAAAATCATAACAAGAAACCGTGTAATAGCTATGATAATCAAATTTTCGCATAGCAATGACAGGAAACACTAGCATCTAACTGTAACACCCCTGTGGACTGTTTGTTGTGGTTTCTTCCCCTTTTGTTGGTTTAGCCCATTCAATCATTAGTTAATTATCCTCAGTGTGCTCACCTGTCTGCCCCTCGTTATCTGCCCTATAAGTTCCTGTCTCGTGTATTCTAGTATTGTCGGTTATTGTGAATGTTACCCCGAGCGTGTGTGTGTCTCATCTACCCGAATCTGCCTTGTTGTCTCTACATTAAATATCCTTATTTGAATCCTTGTCATCCTGCCTGCCTCCACACACCTGGACCGTGACAGAATAACCGACCCAAAAGTAAAGTATAGCGGCGTCTTATCCCTCATTTGTTGTTTCCAGTTTTTATTTTTTAATATGGATTACTCCGCATTCGAAATCCTCCAGGTGGAGCAGGGGGAACGCTCACTTGAGGACCACACAAACGACTTTCTGTCCCTGGCCCACCTCACGCACTGCCCGGACAACTGCCTCTGCACGTTCTATCAGGTTGGACTTAATGCCACCACACGAGCGCAGTTGCCCGGGGAAGGTCCTCGAGAGAGCTTCACCAC